ACTCCGTGGCACAAATCAGGTCCTATGTTGGTAATTTCGCGTCCGATCTTCTGTTTGCGGGTTATTCTTGTAGACTTTGCTCTTGAAATACCCCCAAAGAAAATAATCTAAGGGTGGGTGGGGGAAATATGCACGAAATCTATTCTTCCTTGATCGGCCGTTTTCATTATGGGCTTGGATAATTTTAACACGTTGTTCGGTCGTATATTGCTTCATGACTGTTTTGTTTATATTCTGACGTTAGAAATGGCACGTTGTCGTTGACAAATTCAGTGGCGTTTCAAAAAAAAATTATTTGTAATGTGGAAACTCAATTTCAATCACCCATTATCTAGTTGACATTAACATTTTTCGAAAATAACTTACCTGGAAAGAAGGAAAGTAGGTTGACTCTGAACTTCCCACGCAACGCGGTTTATAAAGGATTATAATATGAGAAAATATAGAAATTAAATGGATCAAGTGAACCAAAGAATTAGTCCATAGTTCCACGCATTTGATAACTCTACGATCTAGAAGGCCTGCCTTTACTAAAGGTGCCAATCATCCGACAACGTCAGCCATGGTCAGCTTCAGCAGCATGGCGGTAAAAGAATATTCGTCCGTCTCAGAAAGGATTTTGCGGCCGTCGGAGCTCATAATGCACAGCAAGTGCGACATAAACGCGACACGTCCGTTTGATATTTTATATACTCTCCTTTATTCCCCACAACCCCAACCTTCAATTCTTAAACCCTGCAGAGATACACGAAAATGATCAAGAACTCCTGAAACGTCAAAAACGAACTTTGGGGGATTGTTGTTTAATTCGTTTTTTGCTCCTAGCTGTCTCCCCCATTTTTAAAATCATTTTCTCCCATAGCATAGTGTTAATCTTGTATGGAAATTTCATTCACATACGAGCAGCACTCCAAGTTATAAGCGGGGTGACCCTATTAAAAAATGGTTTATTGCTTTCCTCGGAATGGAGAGGTCTTAATGGGCTCCATTTCTCCTAGGGTTCCTTGCTGGCGCAAGCTCTTCTCTCACTTGTGGACTCTAAATGCAAATAGGGCTGCACTTGAAGTGTACGGGATTTTATAGAGCCAACCTTAAAATAACTTCTTTTAGTACACAATAGATAAAAATTTTTCACAAAAAGTCGCTAGGGAGAATCAAATGACTCGAGCGAGTTAAAACCTTTACTGAAGACGAATCACATGTCACAAGTCACATGTTCCCCTGCCTCCCCTCTAGCCTCGGCGTCTCTATTGTTTAAGTCGCCAGTCTCAGCACTAAATCCACAGACCTCGTATATCGAAAAGACCCTCGTACGGGCTATAGCAGTTTAACAAAATTGCGGGTTGTTTATGCGAGCCTCTTGCGAAATTCACTCTGTGTCAAAGTTGGCGGAAAACTCGTGAAGAAGTACGCAGTCAGAGGGCTCATTCTTGTGGTATATACAGGGAGACTCAGCTCAAACATTCAATATGAACTGACCGACGGACAGACAAACATACCGGCGGAAATGAGTGACATGATTTTTCATGATATACATGTCATATAACATCCAAAAACATAATACCACATTTTGGAAATTTTTCGCCATTACAATACTTCCTCACCAGTAGGCGAGGGTAGTACTCGTAAATCGCGTACGAAAATTACGAATTTGATGTTGTTTTATCACTGGCAAAGACGGAAGAGAGAGGGAGAAACTCAATAAGTAGAGTGACGTCATTCCAAATCCAATATGGCGGCTGCCGCAAAATGGCAACTTTTAATTTCTATAGTCACCCCTGCGATAGGGGTATCAAATAGAAGGGTTCGATTAGAGAAACAGAACAAAGCAACGTCATTTTACATCCAATACGCTGACCGCCACCAAATTGCGATTTGTTATTTGGACAATAACCCCTCTGACACCTATCTAATGAGAAGGCTTGATGAGCGAAATACAATAAGTAAAATGACGTCATTCTAAATCCAATAAGGTAAACGTCTAATATGACAGTGCAATATTGTTATGCGAGATCTAATGGTAGAGCAGAAATTTGGAAACCCTGTAACGAAACGACGCAAATCCACCGCGAGGGAACTTATTTGATTCTTCTTGAACATTACATTGGCCCTAGGATCTAGTTATCCCATAATCGACAATTATGTAAAATAAATAATTATCTATAAGAACCATATCGAATTTCAGCTTTTTGATATCAGATGGTTCTCCTAAAATATAGGTAGAGTAAAGTCGGCATATATGGAATACCAATTATTCGTATAGCGGTAACATCAAAACTGAAGTGTTTGGAGCTGCAATATTTCATTAATAAATAGTTCTAAGTATCTCCAAAGAGTGGCAGGTGCTAAATTAAAAATTAAATCATATCCGATAATTTTACGAAAACATTTAAAAAAATGCATTTTTGTTGGAAAATAAAAAATGGAGGGTAATATGGAACGGGCATATCGGGTAATATGGAATAGACTTATTATACGCAAAAAACTGCACTAAAACCATTTAACTTCAGAACATCGGTATACTCGTATATATATATACAGGGTGGCCAAACACGTGACGTCATAAAAAAAAATTAGATTCCCCACATCGAGAGGAACCCAAATCACCCCCATATATATGGTCCGATTTTGTTTAGTTTAGGAGTTATGATTTTTTTTCGGATTTTTCGAGAATTTTTGAGTTCTGTGTTTATTTTTACCATAACTTCGTTAATAATTGTGATAAATGCCTGCTTTTTTCACGATTATGTAGCTAAGACCTAAGGCTTAACTATCATATAATCATTCAAGTCATGTAACTAATACTACTTTTTAATTTTTTTCAAAATCTTCGAACATAACAAAAAAGTAAAAAAGTGCAACAACTTTGAACGTTTATAAAAAATTGAAAAAACATGTTCTTACTATTCGTAAGTATCTTAAAAACTTCCTTACGGTATCAGCTATTTACCGTAAAAATTTCATCAACCTAGCTTTACTACATGCTACCGTAATTGTGGCTCAAATAGAACCGAACCCAAAATTGGATAACCCTCTGCTCAATAGAAATTGTTAGTTTCGGAAAAAAAATTTGCAAAAACCACAAAAACACGTTTGATTTTTACTGAACAGCAGATTATTATTCATTTATGTTATTTACAAGAGGTTTTCAAAATGTCTGCCTCTAACAGAAATGCACAGTGTACACCTACGTATGAAATTTTGTTTTAAATCTCTAAATGCTTGTGTGTTGTTTTTCAACACATGTGTCGTTTCTTGAATTTTGTTCCTCAATGAATTTTCATTTGCACATTCTTGGGCGAATGTTATGTCTTTAAAATATCCCCAAACAAAATAATCAATGGGGTTGAGGTCAGGGGAGCGTGGAGGCCATCGTATCGGTCCGTTTCGTCCGATCCATCTGTCTGGGAACCTTTCGTTTAAGTAGTTTCGCACGATCGTTGCGTTGTGGCATGGTGCACCATCATTCTGGAACACCATGTTCCGTCTGGCTTCCAGGCTTGAATCTTCCAGCAATAATGGTAGGCTATTTTCAAGGAAGCTTTTGTAGGCTACCGAATCCAACCTTGACGGCAGTTCAAATGGACCGATAAATTCCATATTGAATATTCCTGACCACATGTTCACACTAAAACGGTGTTGAAATGTCGACGGCCTTGAGTGGTGGGGGTTTTCAACAGCCCAAGTATGTAAATTATGGATATTGAATATCCCTGTTCTTTCAAAACGTGACTCGTCAGTCCATAAAATTATATCAAAAAAATCGGGATCCTCTCGTTGTCTTCGCAGCATTGTCTCGCAGAAATCCACTCTTAACTGGTAATCTGAAGGCATCAACGCTTGAACTCTTTGAACATGATAGGCATGATAACCTTCTTCATGAAGAATATTTTGTATCGATGTTCGTGGTATTCTGAGGTTTTGTGCCATAGATCTCGTACTCGTTGAGGGATTCCGGCTAATTTCTTCAAGTACTACTTCTCTGCGATCCGGATCAGCTGTAGGATATCCTTCATTGCTTCCTCGTCCTGGAATGCGGCCTGCCATGAAAGTGTTATGTGTGTTAATAAAAACACGGTGGTCTGGGTAATGCTCAGGTTGTGGTCCGCCTCGGCGTATAAGTTGTTCCCGGTGTTATTGTTCGTCAAATTTTGATTTTCCTTTTGCATTTCGGCCGCAAACTCTTCTTCTGTAAAAATACTCCTTCTTAAAGGGTAGATCCCAGTGGCACTAAACCCTTTAACGGCTCTTTCCCCAGATTGCACTTTAAGATAGGCGCTACCAAATAACTGGCAAATATCAAAATGCGTTACTGCACGTTTTTCCGTCCTCATGAAGATTCTCACTTATTCGTTAAAAAACGTCTTTAATGCACCCATGACGGTCTTATCAAGGGGCTGAAGTTTATGCGTCGTATGTGGTGGTAGGCATAAAATAATAACATGATTGTCTTTAGCTTTGATAAGTACATCTAGATTTCTTGTATGAGTATGGTGGCCGTCTAATATCAGCAGTATTGGTTTTGTTGCTGAAGGTTTGGCTTTTTCTAGGAAATGGTCAAACCATTTTGTGAATAAGTCTGTTTGAATCCACCCGGATGGGTGAAAAGCAAACAGGGATCCTGGAGGTGCCCCCTTTTTTAGCAGGTTACTGGCTTTCTTGCGTGGAAAGATGATCATCGGTGGGACCAAATCACCTGCCGCACTCATACACATTACGATGGTTATAAGTGAACCTCTTTCTGCAGATGTGATAGCACCAACTTGTCGTTTGCCTCTAAGCGATACCACTTCTGGACATCTTGATTGCACAATGGACAACCCCGACTCATCTACGTTATATATTTGGTGAGGTCCATAATTTCGCTCCGCCATAGTCTCTAATAAGTCGAAAAACTCGGTAACATTTTCCTTATTAAAACCAACGGCTCTTGCTAGGGAAGTTCCAGTGGGCTTTCGTAAACTTAGTGTATTCTTATGCCTGTGCATGAATGATGAAAACTAATCTTTTCCCGCAGATTCACGTAAAAGAGAGAATAGATGTGGTATATTGTTACGTTTAGCAAGTTGGAATGCTAAGGATCGAGCATCCCTTCTTGTCAGACCAAAAAACTTCTGATCCATTATAAGTAAATATCGTACTAGTTCCTCTTCTAACTCCGCTGACAAAATTGGTCTTTTACCCAACTTCGTTTTACTAACAGTTGCTGGAGGCCCTTCAGTATTACAGAGGCGAAAAAGTGTTGAGCGTGGAACTTTATATGCTCTTGCTGCGGCCAAATAACCCATATTTTGGTTTCTTACTGATCCAATGGCGTTTTCCATATCTTTCTCACTCCATTGTTTTCGCTTTTGCTTTAAGGGAGAAGCCATTATATCTGAAAATAAAAAAAACCTTACTTTATACTTAGCGGGTAATATGGGATAGCAATAGGGCGGATAATATGGAATATTCCATATCACACGCTACACAAAAAGTACACAAAACAAGTACTCTATTTGTTATCATGAAAAATATCAAAGCAACTCGTTAAAATTTCTACCATATTATGCCTAAACCAACTTACCTTGTGCTTAATCAACTTTATTTAAACAAAATGTAGTCACAAAACGATTTTAATTGACACCGTGCACAAACTTTAAACATGTGGAAACCATAACCTCAACTTTTTCGGCGTTGCTAGCGTCTAGCGGCAATTTTATTTCATGCCAACAGTCTACGATTTTAACAAGAATTCTAAAGTCGTCATTACCTTAGAGATGGAGCCACCCGTTTTAAAATTATGGAAAATTCCATATAACCCGACTATTCCATATATGCCGACTTTACTCTACGTTTAATCTCTTCTATGAATTGAACAGGCATTTTCGTAGGTACAAGTACGAGTCAAACCAAAACTTGATGCTTTCGTCGTCCGACCAAAAGGACAGCCAACCACGGACAGCTCGTTCGTGCTTCTTGGCTACTGATCAGCATGAGCTTGGTCGTTTGGCTCTGGGCGAACAAACAAGAACATTGCAGCTTACACCCAGCATCGTCAGCCATTTAGCGCTCACGTTGTTGCCAGATAATGCACTATTTAAGCCTTTCATAAAAATGATCCTCAGATTGCAGCAATGAGCGTTTCCGAACACGGTAGCCTCATTTCTTCGGAGCACCGGTGTAAAACTGTTTGTCAACAAAATTCTATAACTGATTATAATATAGTTCCTGATACGTCCTCAAGAAAATTGCTACAACAATAAAATCGCTAATAAGTTTTTTGACGTTGAAATTGGACTGTGGGGGGTGTTTTAGCTGGGTATTGCAATTTTTTGCTGTTAGTTTATTAATACACTAGGGTGGATCTCACAATTTAACAAACCATTATTCTGCACCAATAGGGTACGAGTACCAAACAGTCCGTTAAATATACCCAATCAACCTCAAGATCTCACCGCCAAACTTTTGGCAGCGAATATCATCAAAGTATTCAAACCAAAACACTAAAATATGAAGTGACAGCTTGCCATTAGAATGTTTTCAGTTTGTTAAACATTATGAAATTATATAAAACTGAGCCAGAATTTAAAAAAAAAAACGATGCTTGATGTAGTGAAATCCATATTTTTTCAGTTTAGCTGAAGGTTTTTCCATGTTTATTGCAACTTTTGTAATTCTTATGTGATTATTACATCTCATCACACCACCTACCGTGTGCTTATAGTTTATCCTACATTTGCAAACTTGCACTTCCAAACCCTCACATGAAAAAGCCTTTTCACTTAATTTTTTGTTAGGTGTTGCGTTTCAACACATTCATACACTTATTTCCTGTTCCTCAACGATATTTTAACACCACTGGTCCGAAACTGTTCAACATTTTCAACGTACAATTGCAGTTGCAGTTTTTTGTTTTGATTTCAGTGTATAATCAGTCGCACCATCGGTGATGGTACATGGTACACTCAACATAACCACGTATTTGGGGGTTAGTTCAGATTTAACGTGTACACGACAGTGTAGTATGTCATTCTGCACAAAAAAAATCGTGAAGGGAGCACTTTTTATACGGAAATTTGTTCTTCAAAAATTCCACTTTCCACAAATAACACAAGTAACCACAAAATATAGAGTACAGTGACATTGGAGAAGGAAAATAGACCAAAGACGATCGGAATTGACATTTGCAAATAGTGTCTTGTAATGTTAGTGATGGGAGAATACAGTTGCGATCAGTGGAACGGTTAAAAAATATGAATTGAATCGTTTTTACGATATCTCGACTGAAAGACTGGAATACCTGCTCTGTTTCGGTATATATATTTAATGAAACGAACTAGAAAGCACATCACAATATCAAGAAGGGACAAATTATCATTTCATCACACTAGTGATGGGAGAATCGAAAGCCTGAGATTCGCTTTGCTTCTGTGGCTCAGAGATATAGTGTTTTCTTCTGATAAAACTAGCGCAGTTTTTGTGTTTAAAATACTCTACCTTAGCTAGTACCTTTGATCCTAAATTTGCTCCCAAAACAACATTAAGCAACTCTCATGTCGTGTCGCGTAATCTGTCAATGAGGCATATTTTTCATTTCTTCGTCATTTTCCGTGTTGCTATGATGAATCGTCGAAAAAAATAATATTAAACCACGAGCAAACAGCACGGCTGCATTCAAAGATGACAAAGAAGTCAGTAGACAACACCGCTCCAACACTGGCTTCACTTAAAGAAAACGCGATGGAATAGCTTGGTAATATTTAACAGTTTAGACCACACAAGGCTGATCTCAGTAGCTTCTATTTTGGCCACTTTCTCAGTTATAATCTCATCTCACTTCAAGTTGCCTCACAAGTCAGAGATTTTTCAATTTCCCCCGCGCCTCTGGAGCCTGTGGTTCTCGATACTTGCTTTCGAAAAATTTTTGACTCGCTTGACTGTTGGCTATGTTTATATATTTTCTGAGAATTTTCAAATCTTTCAAAGATTTTTCAGACCTTTACATGTTCTAGAAATTCATCGATATCAATAAAACATTTTCATACAGCATTTAAACCTCATTTCGACACATGTTTCATGTGGTGAGATGGAATTCTTATTTGACTGCTCCTTAGCTCCTTTTGGTATAAGAGAAAAATACTTGCAGTGTGCTGAGTCATTCAGTTATTTCCGTGCACCGATCAGTATGAATAAAATATCCCATCATTATCCTAGTCGCGACTGAGTGATGTGCCATCTAGAAAAAACAACACTGTTGCCAGACCTAGCAATTTTTGTATGCTTTAGCGACTTTTTTTCTCCACTTGTCCGCTGGCGATTTCCAGCAAAATTTTGCTAGTGATTATGCTGCGCTATCTCCCCAGCCAAGATACAATGGAAGTAGGAAGCTTTCTCTGTAGTCATTTTTTTGTATCGAAGCAGCCGGGTTTGTATGGCAGGAACATCGCGAGGCGGCATCATGGAAGAGAAGTCTGAGAAGCAAAGCCCGTTGGTGTAGCGGTAGAAGAGAACTTGATCGCCGACGGCCTGCCGTTGTAAATCAGTCCCTAGACTGTTAGAGAAGAGTCATCGATCAGTCGCACAGCCCTTCTCTGGACAACAGCGAGCATAAATAATATAGTCGAGGCGGCGGCACCCCAAACGTGTGAGCAATACTTCTGTGCCTTGTAGAGAGTGAGAAGGTCATGCGGAAGTACTTCTTAGACCTAAACAAATAGCCTAGCTTTTTCCCAGCAGCTGCCGCATACTGACAAGATGTGTTCGTACCAGATTAAGTCCTCGGTGATCTAGACTACGATAAGCCGAAATGAACGGCCCTTTGGCAGAACCCGGCCATCTATCGGCACCGCATGAGCGCTAGGACGCTTTTTGTTCGTCAAGGTACAATACTGTGTTTTTGAAGCATTACACTGTACAAGATTGTTGCGTTCCCAAGTAGTGATAACCTCTAGATCTCTCGTCAGAGAGGAAGTCGTCGCTAATTTTCTTTTTTCCAGCTCCGCTGCAGAGATCGCCTTGTCACTCTGAATTCCTGCATGTAAAGTGCTGTTATCAACGAAGCTGTGGATTGGGTTGATCGTGCAGGAAAGGTAGTCGTTGATATGCAAGAAGAACCGTGTCGGAGCCAATGCCAATTCCTTGAGAATACCCGCGTTGACCTTGCGGAATGAAGAGGAGATTCCGTCAATTACGACGGATACCTTGCGGCCAGAGAGAAAGTCAGCCACCCATCGGCAAAGCTTTTCTCAACGACATAAGTCTCACCATAATACTGGATCAGTTTACTCCACAATTGCGTGACTTAAGCTAGGAGGTCCCCTGTGGATCGCTGGTGTCGGAAACCATACTGCCTGTCGCTAATCAAGCCGAGTCGTTCGAGGTAGTCCAGAAGCTCGCGATTTATGCACCTCTCATCACCTTACTTATAATTATAACAGAAATCAGAGCTATAGGCCTGCAGTTGTAAGGGTCGGTTTTAGATCCTTTTTTGGGATGTGTTGGACATGAGCAAATTTACAGTTATCTGGATTCATAAGATATCTGGAAGAGACGCGAAAGAACTGGAGCAAGCTCCGCTGCACACCTCTTCAGTACAATCAAGCCCGGACCAGAAGCTTTGTTGGGGGGCGTCCATGGTGGAGTTGACAGCAAAGATCTTAACAAGCACTTCAGCCTTGGCCTTCGAGTTAGTTACAATGATTCCATCCTAACACGTAAGTGGTGGAAGGCTACTGTGTGAGATGTTCTTTTCAATCTGCTTGGCCAGCGTCCAGAAAGACCGACTGCCCAAATCATCAGTTGCTGCCGTGATATTCATCCCGACCACTGGATCCCCACGCATAGGCGACCTGTATGTTAAATTTGTATTGATAGGGAAGCAGATTATGCTATAAATCATATGTCACAGTTTTTGTGCACTTTTGCAACGGTTAGATGATGCCAACCATATATTCATAAATAGGAGATGTTTCCAATTCCGGATCGAACAATCTACCAAAGACGGTTATAATCATGATACCTAGTTTATTAGGTATATCAGAGCTTTCTTATATTTGTTCATCAATTTGATGATACCACACATCTACCAAAGATGATCATAATCAGGATAGTAAACTATGACGAAGGTCCACTGTATGTAGGAATTTTCAGATATTTCATTTGCAATTTGAAGATACAACAGACCATGATGGTGTTCACACTGTTCAAATATTCATCAAGAAGTGATATCAGTCTAGATCCAACAAATCTAAAAGATTCATTTAATAATAATAATAATAATTAACGTCTTTTATTTGTAATATTATTACAGGAGGCGAGATTTAGATTATATTATCTATTCTACCATCTAACCTCCACCACGGGACGTGATCGTCGTTAGACTTGGCAACAATGCGA